TTGAACGATGCATCGTTGCGTTGGTGACGCGCAACTGCGAACAACTACGCGTCTGTGTCGTCGCTCGTCGCGAAAACCCGAGAAGAACCCTCGTCGTGAAAATCTGCAATCTAATGATTAAGCAACGGGTCAATCGCTGGCTGAGAGCACGTCTCAAAGGAAAAAAGAGAAAATCTTGAGGCAGGCATAGAGAGGGAAACGTACGCCAGGCTACAGGGCGGCTGCGGCGTATACGTTCCAATTCAATCGGCAAGTCCAACAGATGTAATATTTAACGGGCGTTTCGCCCGTCCCGTCCGTATTCTAAATAATTCAGTGCCGAGTCGCAAATCCCTCGAGGGATTTTCACATCCACGGGCGCGCGCGCAGCCAGCGTATTGGATTTTGGAGCTGCCTTGGCGCCAATTAAGAGAGAGCCTTCTCTCTCTCTCTCTCTCTCTCTCTCTCTCTCTCTCTCTCTCTCTCTCTCTCTCGCACTCTCATTCTGCAAAGTCCATGAAAATAACGATGACGAGTTGGGCAGCAAGTCAATTAGCGGCAATGGCTGTCTCCGCGTCGAGAGCGAAAGTCAGAAGGGTGCCGATGGGAACCGACTCTGCGATAACGACTACAGGACCTGCGGCTGGGAGAAAGTTACGCGGCTATCGTCGATTGCTCGCAATCGCAGTCTTTTCATACGATTGCCCAAGCAGACTGCTGTGGGCTCAACGTGTCGCAGTTTCGACAGCCTACGAAAATTGCAGTTGGTGAAAATAGAAATGGCGGCGGGCCGGAATTCGCATGCACGCGCCAGTGCGAATAATGAAAAACTCGAAATGAAGCGAAGGGGCGTTGGTACGCTCGTCTATAAATTACGTCACGTCTTTTGGCCCTTGAGCGCTGCTGCTGCTGCTGCTGCTGCTGCACTCGTGTCGTTATTTCGCACTTGGCGCTACTATTTTCAGCCACTGGCACGTGCAACCTCCCCACACACGCATGCGACGTGTCCGCGTCCCTATTAAAATGCCGTTGGCAACGACTTTTGTCGCGGGACCCAGCGATTATCGCTTTGCGTGCTCGCGCTTATCAAGCGTGTCTCGTTTCAAAAAAGACGAAGGAAAGGAGCAAAAAGTGCGGAGCGAAAGGGAGGGGAGGATAGCTGTTAAAACGGTAATTTGATGGATCGGTGTGCTTGGAAGCACTTGATAGGAAAAAACAGTGACAGGGCATGTACACAGTCTCTCTCTCTCTCTCTCTCTCTCTCTCTCTCTCGAGAGAGAGAGAGAGAGAGAGAGAGAGAGTAGACGACATTTAGGTCAGAGTTGCCACATGGGAAAGATGCCGATGCTACTACTCGAGGATGAGATCATTGGTTGGAGAAGGTCCATAAGTTACTGATTCATCTGCTTACGGGCGCAAGGCTGACAAAGACTTAATCGATGAATTTGGAGAGCAGTGGCAGATGGCGGTCGGGGCCAGTGGTCGGAGTTGTCGGGTGCTCGAGCGAAACATCGATTTGCCATCCATCGGAAAGAGAAAGACAGCGCGAAGAGGGCGCGTTAACGATCGGTCTGGTGCAAGGGCCATTGTTAGCCGCGAAAAGAAAATATTGAAGATTCGGCAGGGCGAGAGAGCGAGTTGGAGCCTGCGCCGCTCCAGAGGCTTGCCAATCCGGCGTGGCTCCGCTATAGCTGTGGCGCGCGCGAGCGAGCGAATCGATAAGGCGCCGCGGGATTCGCCAGACGACATCCCGGAAGGAACCTTCGAAAAACCACTTGACGAGAGGGAACGAACGAACGATTCATGGCTCCCGCAAGGCCTTGGCTTTTCCCACCCCCTCTCTGAGCAAACAACTTTTTTCTCCTTCCTTCGTCCTGGCGGCAGTGCTGCTTCGGGGATTTTATTTTGCGAGCGCGTAAATCAGGCCGGTCTCGCTCTGCCGTGCGTAATTTCATTAGGTGGCCCCCTAATGCGTCGCCTCGCGGGGGCCAATGACTCAACGTCTAGGCTCGTGTGACTCGATGCCACTGGGATAGGTGTCAGCTTCAACGTCCAGAAAGAAGGATCTTCGAGCGCTTAACCACGCGCGCCTACGCGAACCGCACGACAAGCCGAGTTGCGACCAAATGCAAAACCAAAGTGCACTTTGGCCAAGGCCGACTTTTCCGCTAGTGCATTCGTTGCCGTTGCGAGCTTTTGTTTTTATTGACCTTGGCTCGATAGCTAGACGACTAAACAACCACTAAACAATCACCGACCAACGACCGACCAACGACCGACCAACGGACGAAAATCCGATAAAAGCGTCGCGCAGTGCTGTGCGGCAGCAGATAGTATGTCGCACGGTAACTCGATTGTTGAATGATCGCTGCACTACCAGTACGTGTCCACAGGCTTCGCCCAAGCGTTTCCACTCGATTGACATGTAGGATAATCGCATCGTGCCAGCTCAATCGCATCTTATCCAACGCGAGTCTACGAGTCGTCAAGCCAGTTTGCAAGCTCTTTTTAGGCGACTAGTGGCCTTAGCCCTTCTGTCGGACATGCAGGGCATTATTATATGGGCAGGGGCTGCGAAGGCGGAGGGGTGCAAGAGTGGCCGATAACGATGGGCGTGGTGGTGGGGAGCGTAGAGAGATTGCGACGAGATTGGCATGCAGAGTCGTTGGCGTTTTGTGTGTGGACTCCAGCTCACCTGGCTCCTGGTACATTGATCCTCGCTCGCGAGCTGCCTAATTGTCCGCTGCTGTCTCATGGCACAGGACACTTTGGCTATCTTTTATCACTTTTTTATTCAGATCATCACCAGCGGACCGATCGAAAGAAAGAAAAAGAAAGTCGATGAAAAGAAATGAAAAAAGGGACGAAGAACGAGGAGCAAGAGGAGGAGGGGGACTGGACCTCGCTCTCTCTCTCTCTCTCTCTCTCTCTCTCTCTCTCTCTCTCTCTCGAGTTCTGTCGGCTCGAAAGCGCGGGAATCGAGTGCGTGTATGAGTCAGCTCGTGATTTCGAGCTTCTTTGCGCACACTCGATTCGACGTCCTTGACACTTGTCCTCGGCTTTTGCTGGGTTCGTTACGTTGGTCGATCTTCCTTGATCTGCTTCCGCTTTGAGATGGGCAAAGGAGGGAAAAAAGAGGCAAACGGCACCGTCGTGCGTCGAGCGAGTGTTCGCGATCGGAGGCCAGGCGGTGCACTGACTCCGCGGCGGCGGTGGTGCTGGAGGTGGTGGAGGTGGCGGTGGTGGTGGTGGTGGTGGTGGTGGCGGCGGCGGCGGCGGCAGCGAGTTCCTTGCTCTCTGCGTCTCCCTTCGCGTTGTCGCGAGGAGCGCATGCGCAAGGGCGCACACGTGTTGGAGCGCTGCACCTACGTGTACGTACTGGAAAAGCCACGGCGAGCTTGACTGTGTGCGGGAGACACGGGGTGCGCGCAAGCAACCCCCCACGCAACCAAGCGCCCCAGCTCGATACCGTCGCCCGGGGTAGCACCCAACCACCAGATATATTTCGACGCCCATACCATCGCTCGCATTAACCCTCTCTCTCCCTCCAGCCTCTGTCTGCCTTGCAGACCTGCGGGATTACGTTAACGTTGACGATCTCGGCTCTTTCCAATAGAAAAGCCAAAACAGCAAGCCAAAACATACCGCAAGTTTGCATTTTTCTGCGCTTCCGTCCTGCTTCGGAGAATGTCGAAGGAATTTTCGCGCGAGCCCAGTTCAATTTTTAACTCAAGATTGCCACGCGGATATGGAACGTAATTTCCGGTCGACCCGTTTAGCGCGAGCGACAAGAAGAACACGCGAGAGCCGGCGCGCGATTCGGAGAGTAAAAGGTAAAAATGGAATGAGCGATACAACTGGGGCAGGTTTCTCGCGCGGACGTAGTTCTCGGTGACTTCCAATCGAATTACACTCGGCGTGCGCGCACGAACAAAACAAACGTAGGTGATGGTTCGACGACCTCCCCTGCAACGGGCCGTCGCGCTTATCAGATCAAGCTAATTTTTGGTGTTGATCGTGCTTAGAATATGAAGCGACCGTAAGAAGCCTGGGCTTTGTTCGCTACTTGCCGCTCGTAATTCTTGGCTTCCTTCGCAGCCAGCGCCAATGGCTCAGCTGCACTCGGCTGCGTGAATCAGTATGAGCGACCAATTAGGCAATGATTACCTCGGAGGAAACGGAGCGCGCGTCGCGGCAGTTGCAAACGCCAGCCTGAGCTGTTTCTTATTTTTTTCTCTTCCCTTTTCAGACGTAAATTTCAAAGTCAGATGAGTGCCGTTTCGCCTGTGCTTCGTGTGATTTCCGATTGAACACTCACCCGAGCTTGATATATTTTCTTCCCATACTTGGAAATGACTTCCGCGAACAGCGCTAGGAAAGGCGGCTGCCAGAATAACGGCGATTATTAAAAAAAGCAGAAAGCTAGGAAAAAACCCGATGAAAGGAGAAAATGTCTATTGCAGTTGTACAATAATTCTCGGTCTTTCTCTCAAATTCTTAGCTGTGGTTGTTCGTGCGCTCTCGTAGGAGACGAGGAAGCAGCGCGCGAAGAGGACAGAAATATCTGTAAGAAAATTTCATATTGCAGGAAATCATAAATCTCGAGAGCGGGGCATAATAAAACAGAGGAGAGAGAGGACCGAATATAAAACGTTTGGAACAAAAAGGTTATAGCGGTAGGTGCGACTCGAGAAAAATAGGAGGAAAGGCAACGTTTGCCCGGTCGCGTAGCTCGCAGATGTGCTAGACAGTGCCATGCCGAATGAATAATAAGGCTTAAAGTTCGAGACGCGGAATGAAATGGTGTCGTTGACGTCGTAGTCGCCAAAGTGCAAACGCGATGAAATGGAATATCTAATAAGGGACAAATGCACTTGGGCGCCGAATTTACCGTCTCGTCTTTCGGCGAGTTCACGGATGAGCTCGTTAGAAGCGCATCGCTGAGCTTCCAAAATCAATGCGTTCTTTTCGACTAGACTCTAAATCTTTATTTTGACAAGAAGAGCTTTACAGTCTGACAATGTGCATCTGATGTAGAGATTTTTGCAGGCGACTCACGTATTACACCGATCACCAGGCAAGTCGGCAAAGGAAGCAGAAGGACAAGCGCAAAAAGGAGTAATAAAATTATTCTGATTCCAAGTTGAAGCAGCAGCGTTGGCAGCAGCGCGCGTAGCCGTGAGCATCTCTCTGTGTTTCGCTCGCTTTCGCTCGTTTTCGTTCGCTTTCGAGCGCTTTCGAGCGCTTTCGAGCGCTTTCGAGCGCTTTCGAGCGCTTTCGAGCGCTTTCGAGCTTGGAAGGCCGCGTGGCGGCGGCGGCGGCGGCGGCTCGGGCACTCTATCTTCGGCAAAAAATCTTTCCGCGTGGCGTCTCCCTGGTCTGGCCGTCGAGTTTTATTTCTATTCGTCTCCCCATTTGGCCCGCGACGACGTCACTCGCGATCCCTTCGGATATCGAACGACTAGGCGCGCCATCTCGCTCTTCACCACTGCTGCAAAGACTCCCCGAGTCCCCTCGGTGTGTAACGGGGCTGAGTGCCTTTAATCCGAAGGCGCGCATAAGTAAATTGTGCTGGGATAATTATTCGCGGGACTCGCTTTCAAGCGACTTCTTTTTTCTGGCCTGTCTGCCCTGTAGCCGACGAGAGAGACCTGCCAAGAGTCCTTATTTTATTCGGCAGGCAGAGCTAAACGAATTTCCATTTCAATTGATATTCCGCTTTCTATCAAGGTGCTTCCGCCTCCAGTGCGATAATCGCACATACCGATGAATCTGCGATGTCGCTTAATTAGACAGGGAGTCGAGTGGAACGCCAACGCGAGAAACAATCGTGGAGTGGCGGCGGCAGTGTCGTTGGAAAGAAGGCGCGAACGAGTCAAGCTAGCCGGCACTCCGTTATCTCGTGCCGTCGTGCCTGCCGAAAAACCAGCCGAGACACGTCGCATCAAGACGGATGGCTTCTAAAGTGCGCAGCTCGCGAATTAAGGCCCCGGAATGCCGAGTGATGATGCAATCGCTCCCTCCTAAATGCAACAAGAAACCTCGTAAATCCTCGCGAGAGCTGCCAACCGAAATCCCTCCGACGCTCTCTACCACCATTCTACTTTATAGAAATTCTTTCATCGTTTGCTCCACCTGCCTTCGATATCTTTTCTTCCGCGTCCACGCCGACAAATATTGCCGGATCTGCTTTGCTTACATCGTGTTTGTTCGGAATATTGACAGGCGATATTTTTTGCTGGCCCCACTCAATTATTTCTTTAGTTTGGTTTCTCTTGCAATTCTATCGCTGCCATGCTTATACGGTTGCACGTGTAGCAGCGTTTTGCAAAAAATTGGCCCGAGAGTTGTTGATATTAAAAAGAGGAGAGAGACGGAGGGAGGAAAACATGAATGGAAAAAAATGGTGTACGTGTACACGCGGAATATTAAAAGGATGGGCTTTCGGACGAAAAATGAAAATGAAATGAACGATAACGATCGCGACGCGAGTGCCAATAAGTCGCGATTGGAAGCGACTTGTTCGTGTCCCATGAAAATGTTTTGGGTCGAAAACAAGCCTGAAAATAATTAGCGGATTGATCAAGATCGGTCGTCAAATTCTCGCGGCCGAGCGACAACTTAAGAGCGCTGCTCGAAGTAACAAGAAAAAAGAGGAAGCCTCCTAAGCCGCCAGTCGGTCGAGAGTGAGCAGACAGACCTGCGAGAAAGGACAGGCAAAAAGGCCAGAAAAGAAATGTCGAGCGAAAGAGATCGAAGAGAGAAAGAGAGGAAGAGAGAGAGAGAGAGAGGAGCGAAATTGCCGAAAAAAGCGGTATCAAAGGTGTGTGCGGCGGGGGTGAAACGTGTTTCGAGGGAGAAAAAAGAGCAAGACGTGTCTTAACGAGCCCGCATCGCGCACCGATGCAAAGTGACGTCGTCTCGAGCCGCGGATAATACAATTAGAGAGGCCCTTAATTCGGAGGAGACTCTATCGCACGTACTCGCCTTCGCGCCATTATTTATTCGCCGCAGATATTTTGCCTGCATCTTGGGATTCTTTAGAGAGCGAGTCGTCAATTTTTCTTCGTCTTCTTCTTCTTCTTCTATTTTATCTTTTTGCCAGTTGAAAAGTCCGCTACGTCCGTGTGCGCGCCTGTGTATCGACGCTATCTTTTTATTCGGGTATTTTGCAGTTGCAGGTGTAATTGAATATTCCGTCGCCGCCTATGCAAACGTTGCTACTCAGAATACATTTCATATCGCAAAGAACCCTTTGAAAATTATTGCACGGTTTTGCATCTGTCACTGGAAAAACAGAATTAACAAGCATCGTTTTTTATTGCTGCATAATAGATTACAGCAAAAAAATCAAAACAGAATAAATAAAATTGCCTTACACTCCATTGCTGCCAGGACAACGAGGAACAAAATAATGTGTAGTGCTCTCATTTCATCAAACGAATGCCTGAAAGTTCACTGCAAAACAAACGTGGACGAAATCTCGTTATGCAGATTAGCACTTGTGATTATGATCTACTAGGAAAACTACGTTTGTTATAAATGCGTCGCCATTAGGTGAAAATTAAGTAAAGGAAAAAAAAGGTATGTAGGCTGTTTGTAAAATTTCGGCAAGGTCGTGTGCAGAATACGCTGCTAAAAATTATGATCATCCTCGTGTCTGAGAGGCAGCAGCAGCAATCTTCCCCTAGTCATTACAACGTAAATTTGCTGCTGTCTGGAAGGAGATGCAGCTCGGTTCTAACGATGAAAAACACGTTAGCCAAGACGGAGGGAGGAGGAGTCGCGCCGCGCGACAATAAAGCAGGAAGTGGAAGGTGTCGAGCGAAGCGGCCGCGGCGCGGGGCACGAATTCTTCGAGCACGCACATCGTCGCCGATTAGATCGTCTCTCGCTCGAATAAATTTATTCGCGATAGCTAAAACCTCGTATAATTGGCTGCTTATCTTGCCACGGTTATACCCTCATAAGTCGTTCAACCTCAGATAGTTTTCAAACGGGGATTTAGCTCTTTACTCTACACCTCGCCCGCATCTTGTTTGTGTGTTTCTTCGCTCTTTCGCGCCTGGTTCTAGCGATTCGTCTAATCCAAATGAAGCGAAGAGAAAAACACGCTCTGCAACGTAATAACCGCTACCGGAAAACTTTCTCTCCGCTGTCGTTATTTGAGTAAACGTTGAAAACTAATTGCCGCGGTGTCCCGCTGAAAATTCATTTGACGTAGGCCAAAAATGAGTTTTTCGCAATAAAAATACGAAAAAAAAAAAAAAAAAAAAAGAAGAGAGCGGCGCGTTGGCGATGTAGTGAAAGGATAATCCTATACGCAATCAAAGGCAATCTCCCGGGCAAACAAAAGCCCATTCCCCCGTCAACCGCAGTGCTCTCGCTGGCGCTCTCTCTCTCTTAGCAGTGCCGCGACTTTTCGGCGCGCTGACCGACTCCTCGTTAACTCGGGAAAAGGGATATTACGCAAATAGACGGCTAATTAAAAAACGGCGCCAACTTCCATTGGCCTCTCTCCCTACGTAGTCGCGCGCAACGAAAATCTCGCGGATTTCTGCCTTAAATATTTATGAAAACCACCAAGCGGATTATAAATTGAATATTTAACGAGAGAATGCTGGCTTATTTGTATATTTATGGGCAAGCTGCTGCTGTTATGCACGCGGATTAATTGCGGCGGCTATCGAAAAGTTAGAAGCGACTGGAAGGTGTGCATCGCCGCGGGATCGTCATTTATTATTCGTCGCCATTGAATATTAATTGAAAGCAGATACTTGACGTACGGAAAAGTTGTTGTCGAAGTAAATGTCATAATTGGCGCGCGACACACGAGTTATTTGGCTTTGCTCGCTGTGCATCAGACGGTGAGTAATCGAAGAGTCAATGCGGAACACGGGGCTCTTTCCTCGTGCATCTTGTTTTGGAGATCCGCTATTTATCCTGCTGCGGCGCGGTTTAACCTCGTCGTCGTCGTCGCCGCCGCCGCCGCCGCCGCCGCCGCCGCCGCCGCCGCCGCCGTTGCCGAGAGTTATCGCAAATATTTGCGAGCTCCCGCGCAAAGGTGAGGATAGTTTGCACATGTAGCACACAGCGCGCCAACACGATCAGACAGAGATGTGTTGCCCTTTCTCGCGCTCCAAATGCCAAGTGCCAATAGTTTGCAAGCACGCGTCACAGCTTTTTTCCACTCTCACGAACAAGACGTTCCGACTTTTTTTTTAATGATCGACGCTTCGGAGTTACGTTAACCGCGGCTATGTGGGTTTTTAGGTGAATTCCCCTATGTTTTTTTTAATGTTAGCTACATCAAATACATTGGTTTATTTATTAGTCGCGCATTTACATTAATCTCGGCTAATAAACTCGCTTGACATATTGGACTGCAACACTGTGTTGATTTTGTATTTACCATTGCAGCCTTCACAATTTATCGTGCTTGGTGACAATTATTTACGCATAGCCAGACGCGAAATTTATTTTAGCTACGCTTGTGCTTGCTATTCGATAATAAAAATTATGCAATATAAACTTGGGTGGGAAAAGCGTAATGTTTGAATTTTCGTAAAGACGAACTATTAGCAAGTTTTCCGTAAGCAATATCATTCTACGAAACACGAATAAAAGGGCTTCCGCGGTATAATATCAGTTGATTGGCCGATGGTCGAATACGTTCGATCTCGCCGGGCTTATTAATTTAGAGAGTAAGCACGGCCACATTTTGTAAAGTTTGCGATCGAGACTAGACGGAATTCGACTTTTATGGTAAAACTACGTACATGCACTTACAGATGTGTATACACGAAGAGGCGAGTTTACCTTGAGCGTGCCGTCAAATTGTCGGTTCGATACAGAGGCTCGTAAAGTGTGTGTGACTTTTGACGGTATCGAAATACAGTTAGCAAACTATTGCAAGCGAGTAAGTAAGGTCGGTCCGTCGTCGTCTATGGCGGCTGCGAGCAAAGTGATAACTAACGCGGTGGAGCTTGCAGCAGCGCAGTCGGACGGGTCAGGGCGAATAGAATGACACACACAGACACACACGGTCAGCTCAAGCCGGAGCATTCCGGGCGGACAGCGATTGTTTAGTAGTTTGCGCTCGCTTTCACTCCCTTTTGCTCGCTAGATTGACTCTTTGTCCGCGAGCTACTGCTTGTCATTCGAAATGCCTCGTCGTGAGCCAGTCATCGGACGATCACGCGCGAGCCGCCTTTTCTTTTCCTCGTCGAAGCAGCGTCAGCTATATCGCGTAACTATTTGCACGCACGAGCCTCGAGCCTGGTTTTCACGGGGAAGAAAGCTGCCGCCGTCGCCGCTGCATTCGCTACGGGAATAGCAAATAAGATGCCTCGAGTGTGTTTTCTTCAATCAGCGCGGTCCCTTCAACTTCTAAATCCTTTTAAGTAGAATTTATCGCGCGCTGCGTCGCCGTGCACCACTACTAGTTGAGTAGAAAACCAGTTGTTTTTAAGTACTGCATTAATGCACTTCCAAACCACTTGATCAGATATACGGCACTTCGCCACGAGTGGCAAATTAGATCAGTCGGCACCCAAGCCCAGCCTAGCAGGTCGATATTCAAATCGTTCTAATCCTCATGCGAGCCGAAAAAAGAAAGACGAGTAAGCTCTCTATCGGATATGTGCATCGCTTGTGCACTACCAATTGGACGGGCCTCGGTTGTAAAAAGCCTGGTGTTCGGCAGCCAATGAAAATACCGAAAGCTACGTAGCCGAGAGTCGAGCGAGACCGTCGTTCGGTGGTGCTCCCTCGCGCAAAGGAGCAAAGGAAAAAGGGCGAGTGCGCTGTGTGCGCTGCTCCGTTTGTCCTGGTATTTTCTCGTGCGTAGGCACACCGCGGATCGCTGCATTTTTCACGAGTCCGACCAAGTCTATAGACGCAAGCCTATGCATCTTTCAGTCTCGTGCCGGAACAGCTTTCAATCATTCTCTCTCTCCCTCTCTCTCTCTTGCCCTCGTCCTGCGATCAATTAATATTTAGCGCTCTCATTCTCGTTTCCTTGTCTCTTTCGTTCTGCCCGCAGCTCTGATTCATGCTCAGCACTTACCTCCAGTGTATCGGCCGTCTGTATCTAGCGTGTCTTTTGGGTACTCACCTGAAACAAACAAAACCAAAACGACCAAGATTATTTACGCTGCAACGAGAGAGGTAGGCGCTGCTGCAGGTCGCGTGCCTGCTCATTAGCAACGAGAGCGCGCTGCAGACTCGCAAAAGTCGACCCGTCGAAAAGCTAGTGCTCGCCACTTTGTACACGCCAAATATTGACCGGAGCTAATTGGCTTGTATCAAATCTCGTTTGTATCGGTTCAGCCGAAAATTCATTATTTTTTCATTCGTTAAAAAGTACTTAATCTTGCAAAATTAGCAGCTTTCGAAAGTCGAGATGCAAAAAAGCTGGATGCCAATGAAAAAGGGAATGCTGCCAGTTGTAATCTAGCCAATTTGAGTGGATAAATGAGGAAGGAGGGGAAAATGCAAAGAAAATGCGTGCAGTAAACCGTAGATATTGGCAATCGATTCGCGCGAGTCCGCGGACGTCTATTTTAAGGGCGTTTTTCATCGAAGCAGCGCGTGCGAGCCTTTCGTCACGCGCTTGTTTCGTCTCTCTGCGAATATTGGCCGGATACGCGCACGTGCGCGGACTTGTTTATTGATGCGCATATGCGCGATATTAGGCTGGCGCTGTTCCTGCTGCTGCTGCCGCTGCAGCCGTCGTCACCGCCCGAGTGACAAATTCGCGCGGATGCGAGAGATTCTCTTTTTTTCGTTGCTGCTGAGTTATGGGAAGCGTGATACGTATAGGATTTTTTCGTTCTCGAGGTGAGCGCGCCACGATAGAAAGTAATTTGTAGTGAAATGAACACTTGCACCGGACGAGTCGAAAGAAACAACAGGCTGGCACGATGCATCTCCATAAAAGTGGAGAGTCTCGGTCGTCCATTTGCAGCTCATGAACGGGGCAATTAACCGATCGGCCGCCTCGTGAAATAAAAAGCTCTGGCACAAATTTTTGCGGCTTAACGACGCGAGAAAGGAGAGGACGAATAATACGAGAATTAATCGCAAGGGGAAGGGCACAGCGAGAGCCCGGAAGCATCTCGTTACATAATGCACAATGCTTGCGCTAATTATCGGCGACGAGCGTAATTATTCTTGGAAAGCAAACCCTTAACGGTGCCCGCACACGGGCAGTGTACGTATACCTCTCTCTCTCTCTCTCTCTCTCTCTCTCTCTCTCTCTCTCTCTCTCTCTCTCTCTCTCTCTCTCTCTCTCTCTCTCTCTCGCGCGCGCGATGCTATAAGCCTCTCCGATTTCGCGACTCTCGCTCGCCCTCGACTCGACTGGCGCGCACACTCCACGTTCCTATCTGGAAATTCGTTCATTGTTTCGCACAGTCGCCGCCGCTCTCTCGGATACCGCACCTTATTTTTCTACCTCCTTTTTCCTTTAAATTCTTTTAAAAGGCGAACTCGATTAAACTTTCAAATCGTATCTACTTGGCTTCTTATCAGACACACTCAATGGCTTAGATTATTTTCTGATCAGCCCATCTTCGAGAAATTGGTTGCAAATCATGTGAGAGAGTGAACTCTACAGTTGCATAATATGATTTTGCTTTGACTGATGAAATCCAAGTCGATGGTCAAAGCGGGCAAACGCCTTTATATGTTTCTATGTTCCCGTAAATTCTGCCTCGAGAAAGAAGTACTCGATTGATCTGTTTAGTCCGCGGTTTGGCAGTTGTATGCAGCGCGGCGGCGGCACCAGAGAGAGAGAGAGAGAGAGAGAGAGAGAGAGAGAGAGAGAGAGAAAGCTAGCGAGGAGGGCAGACAGTAGACATGGAGAGTTTTGCTCGCGAGCGCAAATGTAATCGGCAAATTGCGTTTTCGACGAGTAGACTGTCTCTCGCGCGCGAGCTGCAAAATAGCACGGTGGACGAGTCCGTAGCCGTGCAGTGTCCGCACCCAGACATCCCGTCGTCCTCCGCTCTCTCTCTCTCTCTCTCTCTCTCTGTATATTTTAGCCTCTGTGAATAATCAGCAATCAGCAGTGGCGGTAACAAACTGCACGTGTACACAGGGGAGAGAGAGGACGATAGAGGAGGGTGCAAAGCTAGACATGCAAATTCTGCGGAGGGGGCTGTTGCCGCTGCTTCTCGAGCCTAAACTGGTGAAACTGCGCGCGCGCGCCTCGTTAGCTACTAGAACGGACTTTTGCCGAGTAGCCTCTGCCTTTTCGTTTGCCGAACGGCTCTTTCAAGATGCATCGCGTGTCACGGAATGCTTATCAGCACGACTCATTGCGGGATACCGAATCAGTTTTGGATTGCACGAGAGCGAAACTCGGCCGGCGATCAATGCCCCGTGAATAATTAGTCGAGTAACGAAAGACGACAGGAGCTAAGCTGTAATCAAGCGTGTGTTTGCGTGGCGTGCGAAGTGCGAACCCTGCAAAATTGAGGTATGCCAAGAGGGCGCGAAGGAATCTTCCGTGAATCAGCGATCATAAATCTCCGTCTGCAGGAGCCAAAGGAGAAGCAAAGAAAAGACGGAAAGAGACGGAAAGCGACGGAATGAGACGCGGGCGTGCGAGAGGAAGAGCGAGCGGCAGGGTAATTGACAGTTGGCTAGCGCCGCCCGTATGGCGAATAATTGGCGATCCTATCGTCTGCGGCGCTTCGCGAATGCCGCGGCCTGCGTTATGCGAGCGCGCCACGGCCATTCTGATTGTCGGGGCCGGCTCTCGCTGCAGCGCTGCGCATTCCCCGCGAGGTTTTCGGCGTTCCGAACCGGCCGGGGCTGCTGCACGCGGCCGGTTCGGATTTTCGCGATCTGGCCCGCTCAACTTTTGGCCCTGCTCTCGAAACGTCAGCACCGAGCGAGAAGCGTCTTCCTTTCCTTCCGATGGGAAGGGGGCATGGGGAAGAGGAAGGTGAAGGGGACGGGGATTGGGAAGGGGAAGGGGAAGGGGAGGGAGAGGACGAAAGAATCGAAGAAGAGTCGTAAAAAAGGGCCAGGGAAAAATTGAAGCATGAAATGAAAGGGCATAAAAGGAGGGTTGGCCATGAAAACGATCATCATAAAGATATAAAGTAAGAGGAAACGCCAAATAAAAGATGATTTATACATGATAGGCGAGCGAGAGCGACGGAACCAGTTGGGAAATAGGTAATGCAGGAGTACAGGCAGGAGCTTCATACGGGCGACGAGCGATGACGTTTCTCAGCCTGCAAGTTTAATGCTGTTCCGGGCGTGCACGTGACTCACGTACGAACGTTACGTGATTTCTGTCGCAATTGTCAACTGCGTGTGACGCAGGCCGAGCGACCGACCGAGGCCGCCTGGAGCCCACCAGTCGCGAGTCCAGCTCGATCTCCGCCCGATCGGCTTTTGGCACTGGCTTCGTTTACATCGCAGATGGGGACGACGAACGAACGAGCGACCGACTGCCGCTGCGCCCTCTCGCGCGGCAAAATTAATCAGGCGCCCGTGGACGATTTATGGCCTCGCTCACGGTTCGTCGCCGTGCGCCGCTCCCTTTTTGCTCCAATTTCGCGCGCTACAAAACTAGTCAATTAGGCCGTAGCGCGCAAATCATTAATGAACTCTCTGCGCGCGTTTACTTTTGGCGCGCTCGCGCGACTGCCACAATGCCGCGGATTTAATTGAGAGTTGGGCGCGTTCCCGTGCACCCATTGTTGGCCGATTAGCCGAAAAACCGATCGAGTCGCAGCCAGCCAAAGCCCGATGAATCATTAAATTGCGCATTACCAATTGATCAATTTATTTTTGAGCGGGGCCTGCCACTGTTAATGAACGCGCTGGCGGAGCTGCGCGAATAGCAAGTGCATAAATCAAAGACAGGCTCGATACATAGGCAGCAGGAAAGGCGCCTATCGAGAATCGTATATCGCGTGTATGGATTGCAGCTGCAGCGC